TTTCTCCTAGTCTGTAACTTGCCTTTTTGTAACAATGTTTACTGAAGAGCAAAAGTTTACAATTTTGATCAAGTTAAATTTATTGATTTTCTTTTACGTTTCATATTTAAGAAATATTTGTCAAATCTAAGATCACTAAAATTTTCCCCCTATAGAAAGTTCATACTTTTTACACAAACATTTATCTACAATCCATTTCAAGTTAATTTCTGCATATGGTACAAGGTAAGGGTCAAAGTTCATTATTTTTCATATGGCTATACAATTGTAATAGCACATTTGTTGAAAAGAGATCCTTTCCCCACTGAATTACCTTGGTACCTTTGTAGAAAATCAATTAATCATATATGTATGGGTCTACTTCAGGACTCTCTACTCTGTTCCATTGATCTATATGTCTATCTTGACATTACCACACAGTCTTGATTACCAGAGTTGTATAGTAAGTCTTGAAATCAGGCAACATGCAACCTCCAGTTTTGTTCTTTGTTTTGGCTATCCTGGGCCCTTTGCACAACTATATAAATCTTAAAATCAGTTTGTTGATTTCTATAAAGATGCCTGCTGCGATTTTCTTTGGGATTGTGCTTAATCTATATATCAATCTGAATAAAACTAGCATCTTAACAATACTGAGTCTTTTAATTCATGAGCATGGTATTTCTCACCGTTTACTGAAGTCTTACATAATTTTTCCCAGTGATGTTTATAGTTTTAGTGTACATGTCTTGTAATTGGTCAAAATTTGGTCAAATTCTGCCCTAAGTATATCATAATTTTGATGCTATTAAAAAGATACTTTAATAAATTTTTTTAATTTCTAATTTTTCATTGCTAATATGTAGAAGTACAATTTATTTTTTTATATCAAACTTCTGTCCTCCAACCTTGCTAATCTCACTTATTAGTTCTAGCAGCTTTTTGTATATTCCTTAGGATTTTATAGGTAGAAAACCATATGATCTGAGAATAGAGTTTTACTTCTTCCTTTCCAATCTGAATGCTTTTTTTTTTTTTTTTAAGATTTTATTTATTTATTTGAGACAGAGAGAATGAGAGACAGAGAGCATGAGAGGGAGGAGGGTCAGAGGGAGAAGCAAACTCCCTGCTGAGCAGGGAGCCCGATGCGGGACTCGATCCCGGGACTCCAGGATCATGACCTGAGCCGAAGACAGTCGCTTAACCAACTGAGCCACTCAGGCGCCCTGAATGCTTTTTTTTCTATTGCTTTACTGTACTGGCTCGAATATCCAGTACGGTGTTGAATAAAGGGGATGAGAAGGGACATTCTTACCTTATTCCCAATAATGGAGGAAAAGCAGTCTTTCACCTTACTAAGAATGATAACATCTCCTAGATGTTCTTTGCCAGATTGAGGAAATAATCTTTTATTTCTAGTTTGCTGTGAGTTTTTATTATGAAACGTTGTGGACTTTTGTCAATTGTAGTTTCTGCATCTATTAAAATGATGGCATTGGGCGCCTGGGTGGCTCAGTTGGTTAAGCGACTGCCTTCGGCTCAGGTCATGATCCCAGGGTCCTGGGATCGAGTCCCACATCAGGCTCCCTGCTCCGTGGGGAGCCTGCTTCTCCCTCTCCCACTCCCCCTGCTTGTGTTCCCTCTCTCTCTGTGTCTCTCTCTGTCAAATAAATAAATAAAAATCTTTAAATAAATAAATAAATAAAATGATGGCATTGACTGAAATATGGTGTTTAGTCTGTTAATACGGTGAATTACATCAAATGGCTTTTCAAATATTAAACCAACTTTGCATGCCTGAGATAAACCCCATTGCTCAGGTTGTATTACCCTTTTAATACAATATGTTGCTGCATTCTATTTGCTAATATTTTGTTGAGGACTTTTTCAACTATGTTTGTGAGGAGTACTGGTCTGTAGTTTTCTTCTCTTATAACATCTTTTCCTTGTTTTGATATTAAGGCAATGCTGCCTTCATAGGATGAGTTGAAAAAGATTTCCTCCTCTTGCATTTTCTGAAAGCATTTGTGTAGATTCAGGATTATTTCTTCCTTAAATGGTTAGTAGAATTTATGAGTAATGAACCATCTAGGCCTCCATATATTTTCAACATCTCTATTAACATGTCTGAAAAGAAATTAAAACTTAACATGGCCAAGCAGAACTCATAATTTTTGCACCCAAACATACTCTTCCCTACTATCCCCTAACTTTAATTAATGACATCATACTCACCCATTTTGCTTAAACCAGAATCTTAATCCTTGATTCCCCCCCTTTCTCTCATCCTACTCCTCAAATCCATCTTCAAGTCCCATAAGCTCTACTTTCAAAATGTATCCCTACTTCTCTCCATCTTTACTGTCATGACTCAGTCTATGTCTCCTAACTGGCCATGCCAACACATATTGCCCCCGCTAATTCCATTCTCCAAATAGCAGCCAGAGTAATTTTTGGCTAAATAAGACCATGTCACTCCCTGGCTTAAAACTCCCATCTGGCCCTTAATCTCTTCTGCCTTTAGATATTAACTATAAAATAGAAAAACAACAAGCTGTGTCAATATAGCCTGAATATACTGACTGTGGGAATGCTGTAAGAATTTCAGTAAATTCTTATCTGCTTAACTAGCTCCAGTGACCTAGGAATTACAAAATCACAAATGTAGGCCTCTTGGGAAAAAACACAACTTTGCTGTGTTGAGTCTCAACGGAGGTATAGGTTTTTGTCTAGAAGCAAAGGTACCAAGGCAGAAATAAGAATGCCAAAGTCCTAAGCTGTCCTTCTACAACTTTTGATAATAAACACCCTCACCTCCAACCTACTCTCATCTTCTTAGGCTTCCTGTCCAAAGCAAGAGTGCATCTGACAATACCAGGAAAGGCTGTGCTTGCTGGTCTTAAATACAAATGGGGTGAAGAACAAGGAAAATAATGCAACTGATTTATTTATTCACATGTTTGTTTTTTTTAGCCATCCCCTGCCACAGCTAAGGTAGGAAGGATGTCAGGCAACTTGGCCTCGCTCTTTTTTTTTTCCCAAAGATTTTATCTATCCATATGAGAGAGTGTGCAAGAGCAGGGAGAGAGGGGGAGAGGGAGAAGCAGATTCTCTACTGAGCATGAAACGCAGGGCTTGATCCCAGGACCCCGAGTTCATGACCTGAGCCGGAGTCACTTAACCGACTGAACCACCCAAGCGCCCCGGCCTTGCTCTTTTTGAATCAACCTCATCCACCTCTGCAGAGCTCAACAGGTGCTCTACTATATGCTCTCCATTCCTATTATTCTTCAGCCAGTCAACACCTTACACCTGCTCTGGTCAGCTCTGGACTCACCCAATTTGCTAATTACTCTTCTATTTCTTTCTATTCTACCCATTCCCACTCCTTAAGTTAAAGGAAACCACCATCTTTCTTGTTCCTTCTCTGGGTCATCTAATTATGCCTCTTTACTCCCTCAAATGATCTCTAGGTATACTTCCTTTAGTTTGACCAGGCCCTAATGCACTCCTCTTACCTTCTTAGATCTCATCAACACTGTGCTAGATGATGCTTTCCAGAAAAGAGGAAGTGGCCTAAATCAATCTACGTTCCTAGGACCTGGATCCAACCCTTAGCTGTGCTTTTGGGGAATCAAGGGAGGATATAACCACAGCTGGCAGCAGCTGAGGATGGGCTGGGGGATGGGGACTAGGATAACTGACTCTTATAAAACACTCTGCACTTAACTTCACAGCACTAATCATAATTATCCTTACATCTGTGTGTGATTAGTATCTGTCTCTTCCTACGTGCACTCCCCATCAGACTAAAAGGTAAGAGCTATGTCTCTTGATCATTATTAACATACCTACACCCTACAAAATTACTTCCTTGGTTTAAAAACTGCCCATTCTAACTCAGTTACTCTAACCCTATCAGATAAAAACAAATTTACGTCTTGACAAAGCTTTGAAATAAAGTAGTATTTCTTCCATTTCTGTAAAAGCTAATAATAAAAACTGACATTGCTTGAACTGCTACATGGGTCAGGCACCATTCTAAGATTTTTACATGAATTCTCATTTAATCTTCATGACAAACCTATGAAGTAGGTACTATGATTATTCCCATTTTACAGATGAGGCCTTTTGAGGCACAGAAAGGTTATATAATTCACCCAAAGTTATATAGATGAGTGGCAGAAATGGGATTCAAGCCCAAGAAGCCTAGCCTAAAAGCCCACTCTATTAATCCCTACAGTACCTCTCACTGAAGAGAACACCATATTCCTCAATACCAGTGAATTGAGCCAAATAAAATAAAAGATATGAAGAAATGCTATAAAGAAAAACCCAGACTTAGACACACAAGTTGCCAGTTGTACAAGACAATTCAAAGAAACTGCTACTATGAAGCATTTATTTAAAACAAATTGGTTTTATTTAAAACAATTGTCAAAAACCGCATTTTTCTTTCCAATTGACGTATACAGAGACTAAAACCCAGGATATTCTCATGTTAAAAACATTTTCTTCTGCCACCAGATCCCTGTTTTATAAAAAGACAGAGTCTATTTTTGTCTGCCAAGGAAAGCCCAATTACCAAACTGGAACCTACAGAACTAGGTATGTGTTGCCTGGGTTTTCCCGTAGAGGCAGCAAGAACGTGTAAAGACTGCCACCATGCCCATGGCTTTGTCTTTCCAGTTCTCCCACCATTAAATGTGGGAAAATCATACATATCAGAAGTTTGAATGTATCCTACAAGCTTTTCTTCTATATTAAAAATTACCAGAATTCAATGCAAGGCATATGACAGGGAAGACAGATCACAGGGAAGGAGCAAGGAGAACAACTCAAATCATTAAATGTCTGCCCACCAGATGCTTCTAAGTTCGAAGCACTGCATGGCCGGCTTCTGAGGCAACCACAGGACCTTAGGAGTCCGTGACTACTCCAGTTTATGATGTTTCACAGATGCACCATGGAATAAAAAGGTCCTGAGTAGTGTATTATTAGAAAAGGAATATTTAACTCACCTTCCATTGCTCCTCTGGAAGCAGGTTCACGACCACCAGATCCCCATTCAAGGCTCTATTACGAGCAACAACCCCATCGATAAAAATGTCTCGATCACCATCCTAGGTTGGAGAGAGAACATAGTCAGCATACCAAGACCTGGAATCAAAAATTACTTCCTTGGTTTAAAAACTGTAGACTCTACAATCTGTCCACTGACTTAACAAGAACACTAAGAGGGAAATCAGTCTCTTTGGGACTAAACAGAAATGGGGATGAACACACAAAAGCAGGTTAACAGAATGTTAAAGAAATTTCAAAAACATAAGAGAAGATCTCCTACAGGCAGACCAAAAACAAACAAAAATACATAAAGCAAAAAAACTGAAACTACGTGTTTTCATAACTGAAATGAGAAAGAAGTTATCCTTTCTTGTTTTAAATAAAATAAAGCATGATGATACCTTTTCTACGCTAATTTTTTTCTAAGTATCAGAGAAGGGTAAAACATAGAAGGTTTGCAAGAAAACAGAAGAACAACAAATATAATTCCCTAAGAAAACCAACTGAGGACAGGAGCAACAACCAGCTCCAGGATTTGAGTTCTCTAAAGAAGAAACCAGCAAAATCATAATCCTCCCACTGAGAAAATGACAGAGAAAGCAAAGCTTTTATGGAGACCTAGATAGAAGGCAAAGAAGAAAAGGAAAGGGACATGTGATTCATGAAGCATTCTCACACTCCTTCACTCTCTGACTGAGGAGCAGGGTGAACTCCCTACCATGAACACTAGGCATGGACACCTTCATCCTCAATCACATGCTTACAAATAACCCACGTTAGGGACAGTGTGGTCTCAGGATCCTTGGGGTCACAGGAAGACCAGGAGTGCCTGAATGCGGCAGAGTTCCCAGGCATTGTAGTGGGGAAGCGGCTGTAATCAGTGAGCCCAGGAGTGGGCTCTCAGCTCAGGGGTGCCATAAACCGCAAAGCACAGCACAGCTGGGCGACCCCTCCCAGAGCATGGGCCCAGCAAGCAGCAGAATCCCCAGAAGACGCCCCCAGGAGGGGCGGCATGTTTGTGAGCTGCAGGAGTCTGCAGGGTTTGGAGACTCTAAATGGGGTCGTGTGCCTGAGATAGAAACGCTCAGTCACAGGCTGGGTAAGCATGGAGTACCGACAGAGACCAGGGAGTGACTGACTTCTTTTCCCTGCGGGCACCCTGAGGAGTGGGGCCCAAGGGCCGGAGATTGGCAGGCTGCCATTTTCATTCCAGATTACTTAGCCTGGCCCCCTGGCAAGGGCAGTGCAATTCTGCCCTGGGCAAAGACACCTGAGAAACAGCGCAACAGGCCCCTCCCCCAGAAGATCAGCAAGAACACAGGCTAAGACCAAGTTTACCAACCATGGAGAACAGCAAGACTCCAATGCTAGAGGAAAATAGTATACAGAATTCATGTTTTTCCCCCATGATTCTTTACTCTTTCAATTTTAACTTTTTTCTCTTTCCTTTTTCTTTTTTTTTTTTTTAAGATTTTATTTATTTATTTGACAGAGAGAGAGAGCACAAGCAGGGGGAGCGGCAGGCAGAGGGAGAGGGAGAAGCAGACTCGCCGCTGAGCAGGGAGCCCAATGCAGCACTCAATCCCAGGGCCCTGGGATCATGACCTGAACCGAAGGCAGACACCCCACCAACTGAGCCACCCAGGTATCCCTCTCTTTCCTTTTTCAGTGAATTTCTTATTTTATCAACTCCTTTTTCAAAATCTTTTTTAATTTCCATTTTTACATTTATATTCTATCCTTTTATTTATTTTTGTATATATGTAAGTTTTTCTTTCTTTACAACTTTGGGGTACAGTTTCTTCTAACAAACAGACCAAAATACACCCAGAATCTAGTGTATGGCTCTGTTCTCTTCACCTGTCTGATCATATTCTCTCTTTCTTTTTTCTTTTTGTTAATGTCTTTAATTGTCATCTTTATAGTTACATTCTATCCTTTCACTGTATTTATTTATTTTTGTATGTATATAAGTTTTTCTTTCTTTACAATTTTGAGATGTAGTTTCTTCTAACAAACCAACCAGAATACACTCAGGATATAGTGTATTGCTCTGTTCTGTTCACCTGTTTATATATACATTTTTTTTGGTCTTTTAATTTTCATTTTTACAATTACATTCTATCCTTTCATTGTATTTAATTTTATTTTGTACATATATAAGTTTTTCTTTCTTTAAAATTTTGGGATCTAGTTTTCTAACAAACAGACCAAAATACACACAGGATCCGGTGTATTGCTCTGTTTTTTTTCCACCTGTCTGATTATATGCTTTTTTTTTTTTTTTAATTTTTTTTCAGTTTCAGGTCCCTTCTGATTTGTTTAGTGTATACTTCTCTGGGGTCGTTGTTTCCATTTTAGTATTTTGTTCTCTTATTCATCTATTCTTCTCTGAACAGAATGACAAGACAGGAAAAACCATGTTGGAACTAGAGTTCAGAATAACGATCATAAAATACTAACTGGGCTTGAAAAAAGCATAGAGGACACTAGAGAATCCCTTTCTGGAGGAATAAAAGAACTAAAATCTAATCAAGTCAAAATAAAAAAGGTATTAATGAGATGCAATCAAAAATGGAGGCTCTAACTGCTAGGATAAATGAGGCAGAAGAGAGAGCTAGTGATATAGAACACCAAATGATGGAGAATAAGGAAGCTGAGAAAAAGAGAGATAAACAACTACTGGATCATGAGGGGAGAATTCAAGAGATAAGTAATACCATAAAGTGGAACAATATGAGAATAACTGGGGTCCCAGAAGAAGAGGAAAGAGAGAGAGGGGCAGAAGGTATATTGAAGCAAATTACAGCACAGAACTTCCCTAATCTGGGGAAGGAAATAGGCATCAAAATCCAAGAGGCACAGAGAACCCCCCCTCAAAATCAATAAAAATAGGTGAACACCCTGATATATAATAGTGAAACTTACAAATCTCAGAGACAAAGAGATAATCCTGAAAGCAGCTCGGGACAAGAGGTCTGTAACCTACAAGGGTAGAAACATTAGACTGGCAGCAGACCTATCCATGGAGACCGGGCAGGCCAGAAAGGATTGGCATGATATCTTCAGGGTGCTAAACAAGAAAAATATGCAGCCAACAATACTTTATCCAGCTAGGATGTCATTCAAAATATAAGGAGTGATAAAAAGCTTTCAGGACAAACAGAAACTAAAAGAATTTGCAAACACCAAACGAGCCCTACAAAAAATATCAAAAGGGGTCCTCTAAGCAAAGAGAGAGCCCCAAAGTAGTAACACAGACCAGAAAGGAACAGAGACAATATACAGTAACAGTCACCTTACAGGCAATACAATGGTACTAAATTAATATCTTTCAATAGTTACCCTGAACATAAATGGGCTAGATGCCCCAATCAAAAGACACAGTGTATCAGATTGGATAAAAAAGCAAGATCCATCGATATGCTGTCTGCAAGAGACTCATTTTAGATCCAAAGATGCCTCCAGATTTAAAGTGATGGGGTGGAAAACCATTTATCATGCTAATGGACCTCAAAAGAAAGCTGGGGTGGCAATCCTTATATCAGACAAATTAGATTTTAAACCAAAGACTGTAATAAGAGATAAGGAAGGACACTATATCATAATTAAAGGGTCTATCCAACAAGAAGATCTAATAATTGTACATTTTTATGCCCCTAACATGAGAGCAGCCAATTATATAAGCCAATTAATAACAAAATCAAAGAAACACATTGATAATAGTACAAAAATAGTAGAGGACTTTAACACCCCCTTCACTGCAATGGACAGATCATTGAGGCAGAACATCAGCAAGGAAATAAGAGCTTTGAATGACACACTGGACCAGATGGACTTCACAGATATATCCAGAACAACAAAGCAACAGAATACACATTCTTCTCAAGTGCATATGGAAAGTGTTCATTTTTCTTAAAAGAAGTAATAGCAAACAGGCTTAGAAAACCACCACTCAAAATTTTCTAGCTAGAGACACTTGGTATAGATAAGACTTAACACTCAACAGATTAAAGGTGATTACTGTACAATTCAGTTAAAATTAAAATTAGCATTCCAAATTCACCAAACCTGCCCCACCAGCACCAAAAATGGGACATTAGACACTCAGCATTTTTTATTGTTTCCAATTACAAACCATGAGAGATCTTTCAGAACAGTTTTTCTGTTCAATTTCCAACCTAACCATGGGCTAACAGCTGTGGCCCGGCACACACTGCCAAACCTGACCCGCCCTAGTCCCTGAGGTACCACTACCGTGTTAGCCACAAAGACAGAATCACTGCAGTTGACCTCATGTTGAGCTTCTCAGAGAAATAAGGAAGAGGCAACCACTAAACAGAACGTGAACAACTACAGGGTGGCACATGGTCATCAGTCGCTGCCTTCTGCAATTTATGTAGCAATAGAGTCTCTCCAACTTCCCCAGAATGAAGAGAGCTGTTTGGAAGTCATCCCAACCCATGATCACTGGTCAAAACACATGGAATAAAATATCTCTCTCATAAGCAGGTACACCACCCCCAGACAGCTCAGAGATTTTAAGACGGTAAGATACCGCTATTGTCACATTCCCGTCCGAAGAAATCAAGAAAGGCAGGGCCAAGTTGAACCTCAGATGATACACAAATCTCCAGGTATTATTGCGTCACTGCTCAGCTCTTACTGGATTCATTCAGAAGCCCGTACCTATTGCAGAATCTCTTATTTTGAAGACCATAAACTTGGGAACAACTCAATATTAAAAGTTCGAATCATCCCACTTAACTACTTTTAAAGGCTAAAGAGTTCAGCTCTTTATTTGAATGTCAAAGACTAGCTCTACCCGCCAAAAAGAATAGAAAAAAAGGAAAATGGATAATGAACCACCCTGGAGGAAATATAATGGGATCTGGGGGTAATCTAACTAAATACTTAGGAGGCTTTCAAGCAGGGAGGACAACCCAAGAGCATTCTCTATCAATGGAATAGCTCCCTTTGGACAAAATAAATTCCACAGATGTTCAAAGGGTACCTCCCATGACAAGATGCACAAAAAAAGTTATAAAACTTCTTGCATCAACGTAATTCAGAATGGAGCCTGTACTTTTTGTAAAAAGCCAAGTTTCTATAGCCAGTCCATTTCTCCTCTTTATCCTATCCCCAAACAGGAGAAAAAGGCATCTCAATAATATCAATTTATCTTGGTTTGCTTGAAAGTCACATGGTTTTATTCTAACTCTATCTTACTTTTACTGAGAACCTCAGGAGACCAGCAGGTACATATATAAGTGACTTCTCCCATGTATTTTGGCTTTGTCAAAAGAAAATAAAAATCAACTTTCTATCAGCTGAAATTATAATGAACCTAAGTCAGCATTCCCCAAAACAAAGTACTTTTTTAATAACAAAGAAAGTGATGATGAATTCACTGTTCTTAGCCTACTGACGTAAATAGTATTTTAACATAGCAAATGACATTGTATAAATTCACAACTGTTTTTAGAGTAAGAACCCAAATAATCATATCTAGTCTATTTTTGTCTCCCCAAAAACTTTATAATTTATAATTCAGAATTTTAAAATTGTAAGGAACGTTAGACAATCTAATCCATCGCTAGTTTTACAAATAAGTAAACTTTTCAATTTCCTATTGTCAGAGGAAAGGCTACATCTTCTTTTCTAACAATTCCTGTTTTTACTCTCCCTGCTAAAGCAGGGGACAGGTAACATTCAGGCCCTGGTTCTATTATTCTACTCCTAGTCCACCAGTGAGCATTTTTCCAGTTCATACCAGTTCACACGTGACATGGAGATTAGCTACATATACTCATAAATCCAGACCAGTGGTGGTTGTGGAATTTATCTACATATAACTTAGTGCCTCTACTATCTCCTTCCTCAAGGCTTTCTAGAATGCCTCTAAACACTGAAACTCACCAAAAAACCCACAAAACTAGAATGTAGGATTGTTCCAGTATCTACAACCAAAATTTACAACTGGGCCTTGATAGAGCTTTTATAGTCAGTTCTTAGTTACTTAGAGGTGAATCCTTTAGCATTTTTTCTCCCTCTGAGACAATATTACGACTCCATTAGTGGCCAAATAGAATAAGGGGCATAAAAATAAGCCAGTCCTAATATCACAACTGTCTAAAAGATTCTTAATAGGACATGACAGGAATATAATTTCAAGTAGGAGAACAACTTGGGCTTTTGAAACATCGGTAACTTGCTTCTTAACTTCCTTTAACAAGCCGAAATAAACTGTGGCAACACATCATTTGCACCTATAAATAAGATGAATTTAACTTATAGGAACCTAATTAGGCCTAGAGGACCTTTGCTCTGGCCCTTCTCCAGTCACACTCCTCCCCATAGGTGAAGAGTTCTCGGGACCAAATGGATGTGCATCCCTGGGGTAATCAGACCCAAGCCCACTTCCAAGCCATACACAGGCATCTTCCCAGGTCTGTCTGCCTGGAGGCAGACCGCAGTCACTGGCGGCACCCACTGGACTTGACAGGTGGCTAAAGGGCAGGTATTTCTAAGGCATGTGGACAGAACTTGGACATGTGGGGTAAGATGCTCACACAGGTACATGCAAGGGCCCTCACTGAGCTGGGGCGGGGGGGCATGGTGGAGACATCAAAGAGGGGACAGGGAGCCAGGACTGACAAGGGAAGAGGGGCAGGCCAGAGGCAGACCCTCTCCATGCGGCCACACTTCAGGATGGAGCTCCAAGGAGTCTACATTTGAACCCAGGTACACAGAGGTATATTTAACAGGAAATATATTTTATTTGTCATGAACGTATTTTATCTAACAGTTTGTTAGTTTGATTTATAACTTCTAAATATTTAATATAAAGTACGTGTGCCTCCATTTGTACTCTTGTCTTAGGCCCCACACTTGTCAGGAACCAGCCTACCAGGGATCCAACTTAGGGAAATTCAATACTGTGTACTCAGGGAAGAAAACAAGCAAGCAGTCCAATTTTCAAAATGCTCTATTAGTTCCCTTAACATTCCAGTCAATGACAGCAAACTTCAGTGTACACAGGAGATGGGAGGCTTGTAATGTGCTCAGCTCCCAGGTGTCTCTCAGGATGAACTCCTTACTCCACTGGCTATGATTTTCATGCTTAAAAACCCATGTTTTTCATACACTGGGTCTCTATTATAATTGAGCTCCCTCAACTGGTATGCCAATGAAGAAACAGTTATTCTTTCTAAAGTAGAGAAAATGCTAGTTATGCTGGACTTCCCTGAGAGATTATCTGTCTCATATTACTAAGAGATTTTCCTGGGTAATTTTTACGATCACTGAACGTGATTTTTGCCTTATGAGCAAAGTCGGGAATCGAACACCATGTAAACTGTGCTTCCACAGAATGATGAACCTGCTCCTGCAGCTAAGTCACTGCCTCAAAGCTGACCCTCAGTTGTACAAAGTACCAGGGTCAGAATATATAGCATGGTCCGTCAATGGAGCAGAACAGGATTCAGAGAGAACAAGGTGACACATCAGTGATAGTTTTTATCTAATTCACTAGGTAAGATACAACTTGAGATACAAATGTGAATCCTTGACTTCTGTAGGGCAAGGGGAAAAAAAGAACTAAACTGAGCTTGAGACTAGGCCTTAAGGTTACTGGAACACCACTACCACCTGGGAAGCACATGACTGAACTTGTATTCTCACTAAACTTGCCATTTAACATCATGAAATATGTTAACTGAAATATATGTATGTATTCCATTTCCTCATCAATAAGCTCAAGTTTATTCCTATACTCTCTTCCACTGTTAAAGCACCTATAATTCTACAGCTATCCTATTTACGGCAGTCTGGTAAAGTCACATCAGGAATTTGAGAATATTGCCCTCCTAGCTTTGCACAATCGAGCCTTATCCAGAGACCTCCTGCTAACTATATGTCAGAGCGAACTTCCCTGAACAGCAGAGAGCCTGGTAAAATGACATGCACAGAAGAAAGGATATAAAGACCCAACGGTGAAGAGCCCTGTACCAAGTCCTATCACCCGCAGAAAAGTGAGAAAGTGAGAAACTCTGACCAAAAGAAAAAAGCATTACACTTTTTTCTTTTGGACAAATTTGCAGATTAGCTCATGCAGTAGATCGAAAGTAGATAGCAGGGCGCCTGGGTGGCTCAGTTGGTTAAGCGACTGCCTTCGGCTCAGGTCATGATCCTGGAGTCCCGGGATCGAGTCCCGCATCGGGCTCCCTGCTCGGCAGGGAGTCTGCTTCTCCCTCTGACCCTCCTCCCTCTCGTGCTCTCTCTCATTCTCTCTCTCGCAAATAAAAAAAAAAGAAAGTAGATAGCATATTTGTTTGGGAAAGATTAACTTAAATCAGTGGAAAAACCCATAAATCCCTTTCAGCTATAAACCAAGGGCGTCCAGCTCCAAGAACTGGTGGGTGTCTGTGTGGGCTCAGCTCCCGGCCACAGCCCTACTAACAACTAGTAACAAATACCATCCCCTCCACTTGCAGTGAGAGTGTAAGACGGACAGAAGGGGCTGTTAGCCAAAGGCAAATTTTGCTTATTTAAATTTGAAACAAATCCTTGCCCATCCTCGATTTTACTACTCTGCTTTTTAGTTAGAATATATGATTTCACTTTCAGAGCACATCTAAAAAATTAAATGTGACATTAAGTTTATTATAAAGTTATTGAACTTACCGGGGAAGGAATGAAGGCTTCATGAAACTTCTTTGGATTAATTCTCAATACACCCTTTAAAATAAAAAAATAAAATCTGTGAAAATTTAACTAGTTATCTACCTAGAAGCTTTCCATACATATGTTATTCTCCAATAAAAAGTTTTGGAATTAATTAACAGCTCAATCTAGAAAACAATTTAGGCCTAGGAGAACTACTCATTAAATGCATGAAACATGATTTCTACTGATGTCTGCAACACAGGGTTCCATCAATAACTGAAAGCCCACACTGGCACCTGGCTGTGAACAGGCAGAGGTGAAAAGGAACAGAGCTTGGCATGGAGTGGGAAAGCAGCAGCTACTGGGATTTTATGTGCCCCCGTATGCTAGGCTTCACATTGAAACCTTTACTTTAAGACAAGATTATATGGGGATTACGTTTCACTACATAATGGCCTTTTTTATTCACTGAGACCTTTCTACGCTTGCTTGTTTCCGTGACAATTTTCAAAGTGATACAGGTTGATTTCCAACCTGCATACTTAACCTTGAGAGACCAGATGCATATTTTTTTACTCCGGCCCTTCTGCAGAGCTGAATGAGTCAACAATTCAAAATGGTCCAGAACCACCTCTTAATGTAAATGGGAATCCTGGCTCCGACAGCCAGGCCACCCAGTCTGCCTTCAACTTCATGTTATTCCAGCACCAAATCAGGGTCTGCTTCTATTTACGCACAGGGGTGCAGGTGGGGGCCGTCTTCAACAACAGTTGAGTATTTTAGGCTCTTGCAGGAAGCTGTAACCCTCCCAAGGTTCCAGCTGCATTTGAAGGCCACTGGAACACATGGAGAGAGGCAGTTATTTTCCTAAGAGCCAGACTCAAAGGGTGGCTTGAGAAAGTGTTTTAAGTAACATTTTCCCCCTAAAATGTTGAAAGACTCAAAGATACATTAATTAATAAAATAGGTGAGGGCATAAAATAAAAAATAGTTCTCCCCTTCACTGGTGCACCATGTATGCTTAAATTACAAATGTCCACGCAACAGCTTATACTATTGTTAACATCCCAAGTAGACTTAATTCAAAATTTACTGAATACTATATTCAAGACCCTGAGACAATGTGGAGAGAGATGATGACCAAGCTCAGCCCTTGTTTATGAAGTAAAATATGAAGGATGCTGTAAGTGAGGATACAGCTGACTTTCAACTGGGGGCACTAGGAAAGGCTCCACAGACAGCGTCTGACCTGGTCCTTGTGGAGGGGAAAAACTTGCCGATAAATCAGAAGGGAAATACAGGCAAAGAACACCATGTAAACAAGAGCGCTTAAGAGGGCAAATACTCTCCTCCCATCATGCTGTAACTCTGCTTAGGGTAAGAGATAGAAGGGGCGGGAGACAAGGCTGGCAAAGCTCTCCGAGGCCAGACCCTTTTCATGAATGTCACTGTAATTTCACTTCTAGAACAGCTGTTTTTCTGTTGGGGGGAGGGAGACAAAGGCTTATTACATTTATCCTAAACTTTCACCCACTCATTCAACAAAATTTCTTGAAGACTCACATGGCAGGCACTATGCTAAGTGATGGGGACACAATGGAAAGTAATAATAGTCTGCCCTCACAGAGCATAGTGTCTAGTGAAGGGAAGACACTCCAAATAAATCAAGTCCATTCACTCGTTAGATTTTTTAAAAATTCATTTTCTCATTCCAGGCATTGCTTTCTGACCTAAGGTTTGTTTTGGTTTTCCCCCTCAATTGCTATTCTTCTATCATGCCTTCCAGTTCAGTGAATGATTACAACCTCTATACCACAGTATAGAGATAAGAATGCCTTCTGCTCTCAAAGGACCTTTAAGTACAGAGCATGTAGAGAGTCTAACGCTGGGCTCAAAGGAAAGAGCTTGCTCAGGGCTCTGTCTAGGCTCTATTTAAAAGAATAGATATTAAAGATTCTACTCTTGATCCTCTATCCCAAACATCCTGATATATAAAAGCATACAGGGAAAGACAGAAGTCTTGTTCAAGAAAAACATTTGCAGTTTGAGTGGAGCATACTCTTAGGAAATGGACCTCAAGAATAGACTCCCTTGGGAGTGCAAATCGTACTGAGGAAAAAGAAACTCTAACAGAATTCCACAGAAGACCAGAGTCCACCCCACAGCCTGATGAAAGAAGCTGTCAGTAAAGCATGTCAAGAAATGGTCTTTTTTTTTTTTTAACACAACATAATGGGTTTATATTTAATTTTTAGTACTTCTCATCATGGAGATGTTACTAAGTTAATACAAAGGTTTGTTTTTTTTTTAACATTAAATCTCTTCTCCATTTCAATGTCAATATATTTTTTTACATTAAATTACATATTGTCTCCATCTTAACATTAGATATTTTTCTTACCCCCCCCAAGAAATAAAAATTTTATTTGACTGACTGTATTTGATATCTAAGTACAATATTAAGTTGGGAGTTAACAAACAAAAATCTAATAAAAATATGGAGAAAAGACTCCTCAGTGATGGAGGAACTGGCAGTTTCCTAGGATTCTGGGCAAGGGTTTTCTTCTTCCTATTTCATGCGCTTTGAGAATTCCGAGAAATTATGAAATAATATGTAAATTTCAGTCATCTGACTTCTCTTTCCTCTAACTAGCATATATGAATTATAGACTGCTTTTTCATTGCATTATTTGTTGTGAAGAAAACTTTTTTTTTTCCCATTTAACAAATATTAATTTGTTCCCATTTACAGGGAGACAAGAATGTGAAAATACCCTATTTCTTGGGAACCTTTCGACATTAAAGCTCAGTTTTTAACCTCAATAACAGAAAGGTTTTCCAGGCAAGGTTTGATAGCGAAGGCCCATCAGAGTCACATTTGTCCATTCCTCTTTCGTGCATATACCCCAAAACAAGCGCAAATGCCTGTAATGCTGAGAGCCACACCTAACAAGAGAGCGACTGCATCTCCAGCTTCTACTGCTTCAACAACAGGCAGCACCAGAAGCAGTGAGATGAGGACCAAGAGCAACTGTGTTGAAACTGAGGTCATGATGTTGGGATCTTCAGGTATCTTGATCTTGAAGGCTGAAGGTTTCAAAAAAAGGATTTATGTATAATTCTACCTGGTTTGAAAGAGCCACTTCCTGCAGTTCCGGACAGCTGAGGCTAAGAGGTTCCATGTGACAGAGCCTTCCTGGAAGCAGCCAGTAGAGGAATGGTCTACCATTCCAAACTACCAAGAAATGGTCTTTTAACTAAAAGAGCATTTTAGTTAAAGGAGCATTCCAGCAAGATTTTGTCTTACTCACCTGCAAAATCCAGGACTTCCATTTCCACATTTTTATGACAATCACCTAATCTACTCCAATCCCTCATCGCTCATCTTCCTCCTCAACCCTTTCCTAGGCCTGGAACTTGATCAGTAAGGCTCCTACAGGCTCCAGCCTCTCTCTGAACGCTCCTGTGCTCCTTGACTTAACTGAAACCTGGTTGTCCCCTTGATTTGATCACTTCCCTTGAAGTGCTCTCAAAGGGAGTCTATTTTATCTCCCCTATCCCATGTGTCTCAGGGACCAGAAGAAGAAGGTTCCCCCAGGCTGCCCCATTGTAACTTAAAAATATTTTTTTTCCTCCATTCTTGATCAAAATCTAGATCCTCTGAAGATCATGTCATTAGCTCCTGCTATACCTCCTCAGTGCTTTCACTTCAAACCTTTCCACTAATGTTTTGACTCGTGGCTCAGTGTCTTCCTCTGCATCGCCATTCCTATAAACACTCATGGAGCTTTGCATCCACATGGTTGACCAGACAACCCTAGCCGGCCACTCCAGCCACCTTTTCCTCCACCCACCCTAACCACTATCCCCCATGTTCACTGCTGTCTCCTGGCACCATTGCTAATGATACCAACTCCAAACATGAAAACTCAAATATCACACTTTCCGATCACAGTCTTCTATCCTTCCATCTCACTTTAGGTAAAAACCCCACTTCAACAATTCTTTGTCTGCACTAAGACTTCCAACCCATGGACCTGACCACATTTTGTCCCCACACTATGTTTAGTCACTTCCTTGGCCACTTAGTTGCCATGGCCTGTCATTACCTCCTGCCCTTGCAAACCCTGAGTCTTGGGCCACTCTCCCTCTTCTATTCAACTAGCAAGCCCTCACTCTCAGTTAACCCCAACTATCTGCCTTCTCCACGCTCACACCCAAGGAGCTGAATGTTACTGTAGAAAAATACCACACAACGGGGCTAATAAGCCTAACTTGGCCATCACAAACATGTTTTATTTGGCTTACAGGATGTTTGAGAATACTTAAAGCAAAGGAATTTGACACATAAATATGTATTTCCACATTTTCTTTAAAAACCAGCTAACCCTCCATGGCAGCAACCACCTGAATTGAATAACAAACGTTTCTCTTATAGCAATAAAAAAAAATCTCAAATAACACTTATATAAGTATACTACACGTTACACGCTGTTTTAAGAGCTTTATATCCATCAACTAATTTAACCCTCAAATCAATCCTATGAGGTAGGTACTACTGTTCTCCCTTTTACCAATGAGAACACCGAGGTGCTGAGAGGTGCCCACCTGTGCACCACATTCAAGCCCAGCAGTCTGGTCCCAGAGTCCTCGCTCGTAACTGCCTCGACTGCCTCTGCTTGCCACAGTCATCACCAGGGCCTCTTTGCTCATTTATGCCATCTGCTCCCTTCCCCCAGCACCCCAGCACCACCTTCCAGGCCGCTGTCTTCCCTGTCTCGGTTAATGGCAACATCATCCATCTAGTGGCTTGACTCAAAACTTAGGAGTCCTGCTTTATTCCTCCCTTTGCCTCACCTTCACATTTAAGCCATCAGCTTCCTGCCAGTTCCGGCTCCACTGCCGTCCGTTCCCCACCATATTCCCTGCCACCACCCTTCTCTCCTTGCCCCGTTTACTCTAATGGCCTTCCACATTCTCACCCAGCTTCCACTTGAGTCTATTCACCTCACAACTGCCAGAGAGATGTTTTTAAAGCATAAAATACATCATGCCCTCTCCCTACTGAAGCTTTTCAGTTTTAATAAAATCCAACTCTCCAACACAGCCTTGCTGTGGCGGCTGCCTGACTCTCCAGCTTATTCCCGTATCGTAATTCCCTTTGCTCACTATGTCCAACAGCTCCCTTCATGTTCCTCAAAAACACCAAGCTTTTTTTCTGCCTGCCATTCTTCCACTAGCTGGTCTCTCTGCCTATGATGTTCTTTGCCTAATTCTCCTGAGAACTGACTCATTTTCACCCTTCAGATCTCAGCTCAGAAATCACCTGCTCAGAGCAGCTAACCACCCCATGTAAAGTGGCTCTCTCTAATTCTTCATTTTTCATCTTTCCTACTTCCCTAGCAGCACTCAGCACATGCTGTAATTCCCTCTTTATGTCTTTGGTTGTGTTTGCTCGTCTCCCCCAGTGAATCACCTATCTCACTCACTGGTATATGCCTGGCACTTAGTAGACAGTCAAGAAACATGAGCTAATTAACGAATGCTACAGAGCTGAAGCTCTCCCACCAGCCCTGCCAGTAATTTTATGAAGATCATCTGTGCCTTCCGAATGGCTGGGCAGTCCACTGTAATGTCACCTCTATTCTTCTCTTTAATTCATACCCAAATGTTCTCGAGCTGATTTCAGTCTTAACAAATGGTGACGGTCCTAGAAACTAACCCATCCTATCCTATCTTCCTGGACTAGGAATTCTTGTAAGGTCCAATAACAACTTTACACCAATATTCTATTTTAGGGGGAACTCTGATATCATGCCTCAGGTGCTCTGAGGGATCAACCTGAGCCATCTTCAGCCAAAGCATCACCTGAGATCAGGAAACCAGCCAATTCTACCATCATACCCATGTTACTCTGGTCATCACCCCAAACCTGAGTCCCCTCCAGGCCTATCCCATACTTTCATTTTTTCCAACACCTCCTATAACAACCTCCTATACTGCATCTATGGAGAAAGGATGTATGTATGATGTGAGAACTTGTTTACAAAAAAAAATTTTTTTTCAAAATTACATGTACATGATCATGTGTTACTGCTGGTCCGTTCAAACACAGGAAAGAGATTCCTTTGGTCACTATGGATTCCTCATTCCCACATAGGGCAAAACACCAATGAAATGTCAAATTATTGTTCAAAGTACTGAAAACAAAATAAAAGTATTATTCTACTCTTATTTTTAAAATATCTCCTTAATATCTCTCAATAAAAGTTTCTTCTCTGGATGGGGAGAAAAAAAGGGATGTCACAATATACTTAAATTTGAATATAAAAGTTAACAAATACTTTCAAGTGTATCTAATAAGTTTACTTTTCTACAACAACATCTAAATAGCTTTTCTTGTCTAGCTTTTTATCTTACCCATCAAAGCCTGAACACATAAAGTTCATATCAGAAAGCAGATGGACTCTGTTTCCCTGCCTATGAAAATCTTATTTACAGTGTTGTATATTTCACACGGTGACCTCATATCTGGAACCCATTCCTCTCCCCATCTGCAAAGAACAACTGTTCTCATCTGTGGGGGGAGGCTCTGGCTGCAGAGTCTCATGATGTCACAAGCCAGGAGGAATCACTTACAAACTCCTGGGAAAGAGAGTTGTTATATTGATCAACTTTTTGTTTTGTTTTAATACCAGCAAAGAGTTGGTTCAAAAGTAAAAATTAATAGGAAGGAGCAAAAACTGTATCACTCCAGAATATTTTCCTCATCCTATCTCTATAAATTCTATAACCAAAATTATAAGCAATTTTTCTTCCAAGTTACAACAGAGTTTCCCTCACCCTTCTTCAAAAGACAGTACCCTGATCCTTTATTCACTCAGTAAATAAATATTTATTCAATATAAACTTATTACATATCAATCAAATGTCACACACTGGGCTAATTTGTGGGAATAAGATACAACCCTCCCCACAAGAATGTGAATGATCTATTTGAGGAAACATAAATACCAAGAAATGGTAATAAGTTTAGAATAAAGGATAAACAACGAAGTCAGATTCAAGAAAATAGTCATGGCCAATTCTAATTGGAGAATTAAAATAAGGCTTCTCAAAGGGGTAACATTTAGGTAGGGACTTAAAGTTCAAGCACAATTACATCAAGATAATGGAAGAAAACATTCCAAGCACTAGGAACAGTGTGTACAGAGTCATGGAAAAAGCAAAGAGCAGAGTTTTTACAGGAAAGGTCTTAAAGATCAGGGTGACTAGAGCAGCATGTACCTGAAGAAGAGTGGCAGGAAATGAAAATGGGAAAAGCACAAAGGGTCCTCATACATGAAACAAGATGAAGGCCAAGAAACTTCTGGATAAAATGGAGTTCAGTAAGTGGATTGAAGGATAAAGAGCAAATGAACGGATTAATGAAGGGACAAATGTCCAAATGCAGCTTCAACTGTCCTAAGAGAGGCCTTGTCAAAGAAATCCAAGAGAAGTTAAAAAAAAAAGGGGGGGGTGGCTAATGGTACCTCTAAAATCAGAAAGATCAACTCGTTTGTTAAAAAGTTTTCCATTCGGGCGCCTGGGTGGCTCAGTTGGTTAAGCGACTGCCTTCGGCTCAGGTCGTGATCCTGGAGTCCCAGGATCGAGTCCTGCATCAGGCTCCCTGCTCGGCGGGGAGCCTGATTCTCCCTCTGACCCTCCCCCCTCTCATGTGCTCTCTCATTCTCTCTCTCTCAAATAAATAAATAAAATCTTTAAAAAAAGTTTTCCATTCAAGAGTCAATAAAAATACTAATGCAAAAAGACATGAGCACCCCATGTTCACTGCATCATTATTTATAATAGACAAGTTATGAAAACAACCTAAATGTCCACTGAAGGAGGAATGGATAAAGAAATTGTGGTATACATACACATACACACACACACACACACACACAAAATGGAATATTACTCAGCAAAAAAAAAAAAGGGGGGATGATATCTTGCCATTTGTGACCACATGGATGGACCTCAAAGACATTATGCTATGTGAAACAGGTCAAACAGAGAAAGACAAATACTGTTGGGTCTCTTATATGTGGAATCTTAAAAAACAAAACAAAAAAACCCTCAGAGATAGACTGGTGGTTGCCAGAGGAGGCGGGGATACAGGGCAAAGGCAGAGGGTAGATGAAGGGGGTCAAAAGGTTACAATCAAACAAAAAAAAGAATCTACATTAATCATATGTGCACTTGACCACAGGTAAATACAAAAAGGTGATTAAAAAGGAAAAGAAGATGACAGTATCTGTTCACTGGCTGGATCTTAAGCCAAAACAAATATAGAAGCTGGGCTCTCAGAATGAGAGAAATGAGAGAATGTGTTCAGAATGGAACACAACCAACATTTTCAAGTAAGCCAGGTAACACATGGCAATGCCTCTAAATACCAATCCAATAATTATAAAATACACTTAATTCAAAGAATATGTGCCCCTACCTCACTCTCCATCTCATCATCACCTACTTCCTGCCTCATATTTCATGCCTAAGGAGACCAAAGCTGCCTTACTCCACACTGTTTCACAAGTCACGTTTTCATCGGTGCTACAACTCTCTACCTCCTTCTCACACACATATCACTCATGTAATAGGGACCAACTAGTCATCCTTCAATATCCACCAAGAAGTCACCTCCTCCAGGCTCCCAGTTTCCCCCACCACCCTCCCATACAGCCTGCTAACACTTTTATTTGAGCACTTACTGTTTATCCCCAAATCATCCATTCACATGACTGCCTGCCCGCACTGGGCTGGGAGCTCAAAGAACAGAAAACTGGTCCCATCCGCCTTCGTCTCGAGAGCATCCAGGCATGGATGCTCCCAACCATGAACTGTTCCCGGCTCACAGTAGATGCTCAACAAACTTTTGCTGAGCCAAACCACTGACCTAGCTTGTAAAAGTATTCTGTAAACTATAAAGCACTCAACAAATATTGTCTGGTGCTGTTTAGTGGTTCCTTTTCAAGCCTAGTCTCCATCATTTAGCATCCACGTGCTCCAGGCAAACTGAACTCTCAATGCTCCTTACAGCCAAACCCTATTGCCCACTTCTGTCTTAGTAGCACACATTGGTCTCTCCATCTGTAAAGCTCTGTCTCTTACCTTCACTTGTTCCAACTGTGCCAATTCATGGCCTGGTCCAAATATATCCCTTCCAATAAAACATTCCTAGACAAAAAAACACAAAAAACTCCTAGACCACCCTAACTTTAAGTAATGGCTCCTTCCTCTCAAATCTCAGAGCACTTGGTCTGTCTGTCTTGTGCCGCTTACCACCCCGAACTGCACTGTAGGTGTAGAAGTGGGAAGTCCTGTGCCTGCTCTCACATCATGTCCCTCAAGCACACAATATAGAACAATAAACAGTTTAATGAGCAATAGATTACTTCTGATTCCACGTAGTCAAGGAATAGCCGCCTCTTATGTTTTAAGCACCTGGATAAGTGTTCCTCTCTTCAAGCCGTCTGAGACATCCTCCTTGGACATGTAGGTTTCAAATATGCTCTTTTTCTTCCCTCGTATGGACTTGTTCTTTGACTTTTTGTCACCTGGCGAAGCACCAACACCATGTGGGCCAACCACAGAGGACACACCTAGAAACATGAGGCAGCAATCAACTCTTTCCTCAACCAAACATCTCTGTATTTTTAAACTGGAGACATTTTACCTTTTTTTTTTTAATGTAGAAAGACTAATAAAAGAATGAAATGCTCGGATAATGATTTCAAAGAGTCACAAAAAGGAAAGAATGAGTAAGGAAACATGAATAAAATGTACAGAGATGAGACTTAAGTTTTAAATCAGCACCACAACGTGCACAGAACATAATCTGAATAATGGGTTCAATATGCTTTGCTGTTTATAGACACAAACTTTTTAAAATAGGAATTACTAAAAGATTGTCTCTTTTCTGGAGGAAACCAAACAGCTAGACTCAATATAACAATACATTAAGACAACAAGAAACCACACTTAATTCTAGAATAAATAACATGGAAGAATAACAGGTCACCAAAAGAACTATAGTGTCCCTCAGCCCTAAGATCCGCCCTGCGCCTCCATTCCACTGTTACTTCATTTCAGGTCTCCAGTTGCTAGAATAGACTCCATTTTCCTTTTGCTACCTCTGGGGGTCCCCAGGGGCCGGAGGTTCAGCCTGCAGTCAGGATGGCTCATTACTGGTTCCAAAGTCGCCTCTTCTCTCCAGATCCAGAGGGGGCCTCCACTGCTCAGCTCAGAGTTCTTCCGGCCTTGTGTAGCTTAGTCGTCACTAGCTGAAATCAAAGAGAGATAAGTGACTGACGAGCAGTTAACCTGTAGCCTCCTCTCTGCTCTCAGAAATGTGGTACGCGCGTGACAAAAACATCAGAGGGGCAGGGGGGCCTCCTGGGTCCCAGTGTCACTTTCTCCTAGGCAGTTAGGCAAGCACACCATCTGTGCTCAGTTTCTTTTCAAGGTATCGCTAGCCTGTTTGTCTGGGCCACTTCAACTAAAAACCTCCACAAACAGGGCAATGAGGCAGGGATGAAAGAGTTCTGCAGTTCCATTCGGCTTCTGAAATGGATAAGAGCGGGAGGGAATAGAATTTTGAAAAAAGGTATAAAGATCTGGAATCTCAAGGCTATAATGAAATAGGTACTAAAGTAGGACTCAAAAGATGCAGCACTTACTAAGTTTCATGTCGGACAAATGACGTTCATCTATGAAACCAAGTAAATTAATTCCTTTGCAATCCATCAACAAAACCTAATTCACTGCCACAACCGGATATCCAAAACTATGCAGGGAACCCCAGGTGGTTCACTAGCTTTCAAAAAATGGCAACACTGCAGTTAGACATCTATTTCCCTACTCGTACCTGACATCACTTCAAACCAATCATCTGTCCGCAAGCTCAAGGCAGCTGCTTCTAAGGAATATACGGCAGCTGTCTGGATCAGTAGACTGGAATCCAGGGCCCTGGAGCTGGCCCCTGGCCTTCCACCTGGATACTGAACACATCAACACAACTTCTACTTTCTACTCTCAGCTGGCCACCAGCCCAGGGATTCAAGCCTATACTTTGGTGGGCAGGCTTCTTTCCCATAAAATGGATCAAGATGTCATTCTCAACACTAGCTTCCATTTCCTTCAAATTTCCCACAAACATCCTTCACTGAAATGACATCATTTTTCTTTAAAGTGAAATTAATACTAACTCAGGAAAAGAGAAGCTACAAAGACAAAGGGTAATAGGCCACTTATCAATACACAAAGAGATTCAGGGATAAAGTAAAAAAAAAAAAAAAAAAAATGCAAGAAGGGAGAGAAACAGATGGTCTTAGATAAACAACAAGGTAATGGGAAGGGCACACAGAGGAGGAGGCCAGACTCTCTGATCGTTTAATTCAGAAGGCATTCATCCACTTATTAATTCAACAAATACTCAGACAATGTACTATACTAGGTACAATGAAGAACACAAAAGCTAATTAGAGTTATAAAAATCATGTTGAAATAACAATACAAGTTGGGAAGTGATAGCACTCTATTTTTTTTAAGTATGGGTAAATGTACTTATGATGGAAGAAAGTATCTCTGGGTCAGGAAATCTGAGAGAACTTCAGGAAAGATGTGAAGGAAGAATTGAGAATGTGAGAAAAGAATGCTGCTGGCAAAGGAAACAAAAGTAGAGACACAAACAGAAAAACACAGGCAGGTTCTTACAACATTAATTCCATTTGGAGAGAGTCCAGTATGAAGGGAGGCAGTGGCAAGGAAAATAAAACAAGTTGGAAGGTCTAGAAAACCAGCCCGTTTTTCAAAGGCAGTAGGGAATTTCTGAAGCATGAATGAGCAGAAGAGAAGAACAACAGATCAGAATTGTGTTTCAGGAAAAATGAACCTGGCACAGGATTCAGAGTCATCTGGAATTGAGAAAGCGGCAGCTGCACCTTAGGAAAGAACCAGAACAGACAGGGAGAAAGGAAGGAAGGCCTAAACTAGAGCTGAACAAGCACACACTGAAAAGAAGAAACCCATGACATGGTATTATTACTACAGGACAAACTGGCCCCAACTTGGCAGCCAGGCAGATCTGGAATCTCGAGAGCAAGAAGGTGGGAAATGTTCGAGATTTCAAGCAAGGAGACTGGGAGATTATAACATCACTGAGTTAAAGATAATGAATTCCACTTAGGGTGTTCCCTGTCTTTACGTGAACACACACCTCTACATACACCTGTACACATGGAAATGTGCCTCTGTGTGTACCTCTAACCCAAATACTTGGAAACTAGAGCATAACTTAGATAAATTAGCCATCCATTTGCATAAAAATGGTAACCCAGAGTTTTCTAGAATGGACAAGACTGCCAAGAAAGGCTAAACTGATACAGAAGGGGCCCAGGACAAAATCTGGGTTAGGGCAACTTTTAGGAAATACAAAGAAGAAGTAGAAAATATAACAAAGAAGCTAACAAAGATGTAGGAAAAGAACCAACACAGTCAACTGTTAAGAAAACAAGGGAGAAAATAACTTCCAAAGGAGAACGAGTTAATGATCATGCTTGACAACCACTACTGAGTAAGACTGTATTGTAATTTGTATTCATGGCAGTAATTGTAAATTGTATTCATGGCAGCCTTGGGTAAGGTGTAGGGTTGGGGGCAAGCTGCAGCAGGAAAAAGACAATACAAAAACAAAAGCCAGAATTGAAAATGGGTGCTTTGTATCAAGTCCTGATGCAGGCAAGAGCTCAAAACTGACTGCCAGTTAAGTGAAATGAAGACCAGGATCTCAACTCAAATGTCTCAAGATCAGCTGCATCTCTAACTTTCCTTCACAGCAAATACCCCCCAGTTGATGTAATTCATACCTAACTTGTCTCTCTAGCTCAGGAGGACAAGGAACATTTGGTTGGGTTCATTGTTATAACCCCAGTGACTCCTATAGTACCTGGGGTGGAATATGTGTTCATTATTCACTCCTTAAATGAGTAGATGAGTTTATTTTCATGAATAAGCAGTGAGAACACCTAAGCAGAGCAGGGTCATTCAGAGAAATTACACTAAAAACAAGTCAGCAAAGAACAGGAAAAGAACACAGGACCCAGGAAACAAAGTTGGCAAGAGTCAGCCAAATAGCTGGGCGGAGAATCAGCTTGCCTTTGGGTATCAAAGTACTGGAAGGAGATGGAAAGATTCCAAACAGAGAAGATACAAAGCAGAAGATGAATGAACAAGCAACCTTCCCAGCAACATGGGTCTAAAGGCCCATTAACCCAAGAGAAATCCTGGGCCCCCCTACCTTAACACACTGAAAGGACAAGTCAATTTCTAATCCTCATCAGCTTTCAGAATGAGGGACACTGATGTACTGGTTCCTTGAGAGGGTGTCTTATCATGGAAATAGCTGTGTATTTTGAAGAGTTGGGCTGGGGTGAGGATGAACAGGCAGTAATGATTAACAGTGTCCCATGGTACAAAAAGGCAGGAATGAAGCAGAATGGGGGGAAAGGCACTAGACTTGAGAAGGAGTAAATCTGAAGAAATAATCTAGGTGAAAGAAGCGGTGTCTTGAGACCCTTTATATTCCCCAAACCTAGCACAATGCATAGCGCAGAGCAGTTGCTCAAAACTTGAATAAATGAAGCCTATTTGGAACAGAAATAGAAACAGCTTACAATGAATACCCACTATGAGAAATTTAAGCAGGGCCAGGACTAGTGTGAGGCAAGCCAGGCACCTAGGATGCAAAATTCTTAAAAGCAAAACCATGCAAGTACCAACCCTGCATCCTGCACTTGCAGGAGTTTGAGAGAGACTCCTGAAATGTTTATGCCCTAGGCATCTCACTTGCCTTACCCTATAACTCAGCCCTGATAAGAAGCAAGAGCAGATGAAATTTATGAACCTGGGCAGTAAAGAAAACCCAAGGAGATAAAATCAAAAGAAAAGTTTAAAAACAGAAAAGGTTGAGCCTATTCAGAAGCTAAGATGGAGCCAACAGAAAGCAAGACATGGTAAAAACAAATGAAAGAACACACTATTGATGGAATAAATTTTTAAAAAGTTTAAAATAAACCTCACTGAAATTAAAGAAATAAACAATTTATACTACAAATAATTGAGAAACACATGAAATAGTCAACAAGTTGTATTAAGACACTACTTAACCAAACGGCCAATACAGTGTACTTTATAACACGTTCTAAAATAAAATTCAGTTTGAGTAAAATTTAAATGTTTAAAAATGAGGGAGACAGGGGCACCTGGGTGGCTCAGTCAGTTGGGCGTCTGCCTTCAGCTCAGGTCATGTTCCTGGGGTCCCTGCTCAGTGGGGAATCTGCTTTTCCCTCTCCCTCTGCTGCTCCCCCTGTTTGTGCTTTCTCTTGCTCTCTCTTTCCCACTCTCTGTCAAATAAATAAATAAAATCTTTAAAAAAAAAAAATGAGGGAGGCAGAGGGATGCCTGGGTGGCTCAGTCGGTTAAGCGCCTGACTCTTGATTTTGGCTCAGGTCTCGATCTCAGGGTGGTGAGATCAAGCCCCAAGTCGGGTTCTGCACCGGCCATGGAGTCTGCTTAAGATTCTCTCTCTTCCTCTCCCCCTCCCCCACCACCCACCACACATACTCACACACACACACATGCTCTCTAAAAAAAGAAAAAATGTGCGTGTGTATGTGTGTGTGTGTGTATGTATGAGAGAGACAGAGAAAGAGACAGAGGAAGAGAGAAGACGGGAAATGATGCCCAGAATGGTTGAATAAGGAATATGATAAATATTATCCCCTAGAACAAAAATAACAATAAAACTGGATAAAATTATCAAAACCAACTATTCAAGAGTCAGGATATTGACCAAAGACATACAAAAAATTGAGATGTGTTTACTCAAGAAAATCTACTGAATCTTGTTAAGAACAAAGGAAGTGTGTGGTGGCTTAACCTGGAGCTCCCACCATCCCACACACGCTCCCAATCCCTTGGTATGAAAGTCCCACCAGGGCAGGGCAAGCTGTGAAGACTGGCAGTTCCATTTACCAGAAGGAGCTAAATTTCTTTGGAACAGAGCAAGAAGAATTCCATGCCCAGGGGCATTTTCAAAAACAATAATGATTCCAGGCACAAAAAAAAAATTAGAAGGCCAATATCACAACTAGCCTGAATCTGCAATACTAGTTAGGGCAAGCTACAAATCAGGAAATCAACCAGAAATTTAACAGGGAGAATTAGAAATGAGACAACCAAAGTGGACCTTGACAAGAATCTACTTTTTCCTGCTATGTGCATG